TTATTTTTCGATGGTAGTAATTTTTATTTAATCATACCATATTTGTTGATCAAGCACATTATTTAGCTATTTAAATGACTTACATTTACAAAACAGTAATCACCTTTTAAAATTCTTGTTAATGATTCCTTTTAGGTGATATTTAAATGGTAAAATTTAGCATGCACTCTAAAATTACACTTTGTCACTGCCTGATTCAGCACTAGCTTGAGTTCTGCTTTCTGGAAAATCCTGAACACAGTGCCACTGGTCCCCAGCCTCTGGTCACTCCCTCTTCCCCTGTGCTTGCTGGAGCATCATTTGCCTGCTTTATTCTTGTTCAGATAACAAAAAGGCGACGTATGAGGGAAATTTCATATGAGAGAAATTTTGAAATTTAAAGCTAACTTGCAGCCTGATATCACATTGGGGCAAGATACGCTCATCCTTCCGCCGTATAGCTGGACTGCCAAACCCATTCAGCCTTGGCTAGGTCCAGTTGCTTCTCATCCATAACATGACTCACATCAGCCTGACTCTATCCGGGGACAATGTCTTTGTTTTTCCACCTAAAAATATGTCCTGTTTTTTTCTAACCATAGTTCAAGGACTATGGAGAATCCCCAGCCACAGATGATGGTTAACCCAACCCAATGAAAATCCTTAGCCCCTCAAGCCGTCTCCTGTGGATTTACTGACTGTGTTATTTATCTGTATTTCTCTTCATTCTAAAAAAGGTTGGGGATGGCATTTTCATGAAAATAGTTTATCTAATGAATGAAGAAAATGTAAGGAAAAAAGTTACATGACAATATGTTTAATGTACAGAGAATATCTGTATGATTTTTTCATTCATAATATCTAATCACTTTTAGAATTATAACATATTTTTGAAATGATTTTGTGATGTGATCTTGTAATTTCTTAAGCTGTTTGATTAACTTAGTGTTGATAGATACAGCTTAATTTAAAAACTCATATTTCCTAAAGTTTGTTTGGTGAACATTTGTTTCTGTTCCCAAAATTTCAAGAGCAGGAGAGACACATTTTCTCTCTGAGCTTTACTTCAGCCACAATATAATCTCAGTACCACTCATAATTGGCTGGTGGGACACTGTCCCCGTCATATCACAAGTTTCTGCATTCCATAGATCCCTCACTCCAACTTTAAATTGCTTTGGGAATTTGGGAACAATTATAATAACAGTGGTGTAAAAATATTTACTGTTTCACATTTGGGCATTATTTGGTGAACCTTATTTCAGATTGCCGACACAAATATACAACAAAAGTACTGGATTCTATTAGGAGGGTGTAATAATTTATCTTTATAAAAGGGGCACAGAATACTTTGAATCTATACCTTTTCATTCATAATTAAAATATTATTAAAGATGAATTTTTTTGCGGTTACTGAGGATTGAACATAGGGCCTTTGCCCTGAGCTACATTCCTAATCCTTATTTATTTTTAATTTTAAGATAGGATCTCACTAAGTTGTTCAAGCTGGAGATGAAATTGTAATCTTGCTACCCTGAGCCTTTCCGTGTGCTGGGATTATTCGGTGTGCTCCCATTGGTATTAAGTACATCTATGGCTTAATATGTTCATTATTACAGTCTATACTGTATTAATGAATGTATGTCATGTTTTCTCTGAGTTACTCTCCAAACAAATGTGTAAGATAATTAAAATAACAATTTCTTGCTCTGTTTTGCTATATATTTGAAAAAAAAATGAACCCCAAACCTAGAACCTTTTTTTTTTCTTTCTCAGGCTACCTCAATTGCCATATAAACTCAAGCGACTGTTTGGTTACCCTATGTGCTTAGAATGTATAACTTGTCCAAGAGGGAAACTTTTGCATTAACAAAAAGTGACTTTTGTTTTAAACTGAGAGCTTGCTGCAAATGAACAATTTGGGTTTACTAAGTAGTCCTACACTAAAATCCAAAAATACAGCACAAAGAAACTGCTTACTTACTTAGAAAGTAAACCTTACCAATTCAGTCAATGCTTATCTGTGATGAGCAGAGGGTTAAGCCACAGTTGTACAGAGATGAGCAAAAGAGACTGTCACTTCCCCATGACCTTGATCATCTCACAGAGTACAAGGCAAGGAATTTAAAGGGCTTGGAGTAGATGCAAATTAAAGACAGCCAGACAGGCTTGGCTAAAGGAGGACTGAATCAGGAAGAGAAAGCTGAGGGCAGGAGACAGGAGGAAGGAGTTAGGAACTCCTTGTTATGTATCATTGTTACCATCCTCAGGAAGAGGAAAATAACAGAGTCCCTGAATCAAGATCCTGATATGGCTGCATTTGGTACATTGCCATGTTTCCAGGTGAGTCAATGACTTCTTATATGTTCCTGATTGGGATCCTGAAAGGACTGTATCTAAAACATCCCTTGAGCAGGTTCCAAACCCCACTTAAGGAGAATATTGATTTATTGTAAGCAATGTGAGGATAGAATAATTTGAGTAAAAATGGAGTTTTTCAAGGGATATGATGCAATCTGACTGCCCTGTGCCTTCCTCTGTAATTAGAAGTTAAGTCACTGTAGAGTGTTAAATGAGTACATTTACGTTTTATCTTTGTGTTTTCAATTTTTTTGTGGAACTCACCGGCCATTTTTTTTTTTTTTGGCTGATGCACATTTTATGTACAGATTTTAATGCTGCTAGACATGGAAATGTATTTGCATTTTGCATGTAATCATTATCAGCCCTGTGGCCTTAGCCAAGAGAGCTAATTTCAGGCTGAGTAGCTGGCAAATGGGAATCTGTAGTTCTGGTTTTCATGTGAATAAGTATAAGTTACAATTGCTCTGAGGCTCAATTTTCTCATCTCTCATTGGGAATTCAATATTCTCTCATTTGTGCCTCTCTTCAAAGTTGAAAATTTCTATTTGGTATTTGTTAATAAAATTATTTCTAAAGTAAGGCTCTCTTTGAATAATTGACTTCTAACTCCAAGACTTACATCCCAGAGAGAAATTTTCCACTTTTCACCAGACAATAAACTGCATTAGGCTAGAAATTGAATTGGAAAATTAGTAGTGATTATAAAACGATGGCCTTTGTGTACATCTGTCAGATAGTAACTACTGATAACCTGTCTGGTCAATGCCTCCTGTAACATATCTGCTCAAAAGACACCCCAAAAGTGAGTTCTAGGTAAAGTTTGGCTGGCAGCAAAAGTCTCAGGCTGTAAGTGCTCTGCTGTCTGTTGTGTTCCCAGTATAAAGCAGGTCCCCGTGAAGAGAAGTGCCAGTCTCTGAGGTGACCTTTGGATCTTTGCCTTTCCAGAAATGCTTTTCACCACTTCTGCATAGGATTCGTCTTATCTCCGGAGTCCCTTGTATGAGAAGTAGGTACAGGGAAACCACTCCTACAAGTTGCTCAAGTTATTCTCACTGTAGGATATTCTGTTTCTTGTTTTTCTTCTAGACATGCCTAATTTTTACCTGTGTTTTGAGATCTTGCATAAGTCTTACTCTTTTGCAGAACCTTTTCTCTTGTCTCATTAGCTCTATAATAATAATAATAATAAAATATTCATTCTTGTCATGTGATATAATTATATTCTATATCAAAATGTTCCGTGAATAGATTTTTCTGTTTCCCTCACTAAATTGTGAACGTTTTGATGGTGCTCATAATGGGTCATATGTTTCCCCTCATTAACTGGTTTAGAACAGGATTACACTCAAATAAGCCTATCAACAATCCTGTATACATACCAGTACAGCAAAAAGCGTTTTATTGGTTTTCTTTCAATAGTATTTATTTATAAGATTATTAAGCAACCAGATGTCTGAAAGCTTACTAGAAAACATACATGATGATATGGTTAGTCATTTTTCAAGTTGTTATGGTAGTCTATACTGCAATACAAAACAAAATCTATTTGGGTTAGAAACATCTGAGTAATTGCAATTAGATAAATCAATACCTTTTGTGCTCAAACTGTGGCTCTGGAACAACTATTGTTTTATGCTCTGGAAGTTTATTTAAAATACACATTCACCTGTCTTCTCAAGACTAAGAAAGGATTTATATTTTACAAAAGAACATCAGGAGATATGTATGCATAAAAATTTTGAAAGACTGAAATAGTGATTGTTTAGGCAAAAACTTCAATAGTGAGTGAGGGGAAACAAGGCACAGTAATAGTTTGTACTGTGTACAAAAATCTCTAGACCTCACTGTGAAGGAGCCATGGGTCATGCTTTTCTTTAGACTGAAACCACTAGCCATCTTTCAAAGAAAGCAGAATTCTGAATAATCAGAAGATTAATTTGTTCTTTGTAAAGTCTAATATGTATACACACATATACACAAATATACTTAAACCTTCTTATTGTTTTCTCAGATTCACTTAAAATATAATTGCTACAAATAATCCTGAAGTTGTAGGATAAGCAAATGAGAGAACACATATTGTTCTCCAAAGATTGTCTATCACATACCTGCAGACTGGGTTAACGCAATATTATTATAGAAAATGCAATGTAAAAATGAGCTTCTCCTTTAAAATCAACAATTTAGTTTTGAGCTAAAAACATTTAGTATTGAACAGATGTTAAATTGCATTACATGGATTTCCATTTGCTATGATCAAATGACTAACCTACAAAAATAAACAATTTTCTGAATGGAAAAAAATCAATGTTTTATGTAGACAAGGAAGTATGTGTAAAAATCAAAACTGTTTTTAAAATTCTGGACATTTCTTTTAAATGTTGGATTTAAATCCAGGCTATTTTTCTGCTATTTCCACTGTTACTTACTGGGATTGACTAATTGAAGAACTTGAGCTTGTGTGTCTGCAGTGTAATGGGGATTTTAGAAAATTCAACTTGGAGTATTTTCAACAATAAGGAAGAATAATTTTGAATTTGTTTCTTCTACTAGATATATTCTTACACATGAGAGATGGGGTACAGAATCTCAGTATCATTGTATTTTAGCCAGATAATTGAAGGGAAGGACTTTAAATCACTTTTATCCTAAAGTTAATGCTTATTTAAGACATTTATTATATTTGTTACTTGACCGCAAAAGCATTTTCGGTTGAATCTTCCTTTGATATCCTGAAGGCTGGGACATGGATAAGATAAACCAGACATTTGTGACAGAATTCATTCTTCTGGGACTCTCTGGTTACCCAAAACTTGAGATAATTTTTTTTGCTGTGATTCTAGTCATGTACCTGGTGATTCTAACTGGCAATGGTGTTCTGATCACAGTGAGCATCTTTGATTCTCTACTGCACACTCCCATGTACTTCTTCCTGGGGAACCTCTCTTTCCTGGATATCTGCTATACATCTTCCTCTGTTCCTTCCACACTGGTGAGCTTAATCTCAAAGAGAAGAAACATTTCCTTTTCTGGGTGTGCAGTGCAGATGTTTGTTGGATTTGCAATGGGGTCAACAGAATGCTTCCTGCTTGGCATGATGGCTTTTGATCGCTATGTGGCCATCTGCAACCCTCTGAGGTATCCCATCATCATGAGCAGGGGAGTATGTACACTGATGGCTTGTGTGTCATGGTTCTCTGGTGGCATAAATTCAATTGTGCAAACATCTCTTGCCATGACATTACCTTTTTGTACAAATAACATTATCAATCACTTCTTATGTGAGATCTTGGCTGTTCTCAAGATAGCTTGTGCTGATATCTCCCTCAACCTTGTTACCTTAAGCATTTCAAATATGGTTTTCCTGGTTCTTCCTCTTCTGGTCATTTTTTTCTCCTATACATTTATTCTTTACACCATCTTGCAAATGAACTCAGCCACAGGAAGACGCAAGGCCTTTTCAACCTGCTCAGCTCATCTGACTGTAGTGATTATATTTTATGGCACCATCTTTGTTATGTATGCAAAACCCAAGTCTCAAGACCTTCTTGGGAAGGATAGTTCCCAAGCTACTGAAGGGCTTGTTTCTGTGTTTTATGGAGTAATGACTCCCATGCTGAATCCTATAATCTATAGCTTGAGAAATAAGGATGTGAAAGCCACTGTGAAATACTTGCTCTGTCAAAAAATAGGTAACAACACCTAAATATTGACCTTTACTGAGGAATTAATGTAGGCATTCCGCAATGTATAATGATCAAAACATTATTTTGAAGTGGATTTAGATCTAAAACACTAAAACAGAAACACTAGATTTGTTGGAGGAGAAAATGGATAGAAATCTGCCTATATAAGTGTAGGCAGAGACTTCATGAACAAAATCCAGATCACACTGGAAATACTAAAAAAAGAAGCATTAACGAGGAACTCATCTTATTAAAAAGGTTTTGCAGAGCAAAAGAAATCACCAACAGAGTGCAAAGATAATCTGCACATTGGGAAACAATTTCAGCCAGTTGTTCTTCAGACTAAGGAGTTATAGCTAGAAAATTTGTCACAAAATTGAATAAATCAGACCCCTCAAAATGAAATACCTGATCCAAAAATGGGTTTTGAAATAAATATACATTTCTCAGATGAAGAAATACAAACAGAAAAGAAATATATGAAGAAACATTCTACATCATTGGTCTTTTGAGAGACGTAAACAGCACTGAGATTCCATCTCATCTTGGAAAGAATGAGTCCTGTGAAGAAATCAACTAATACAAATGCTGGCCATGATGTGAGAAAAAGAGCATCCTTATTTGCTGTTGGTGGGAATGTAGTGTGGTGCCAGCCACTGTGGAAATCAGCAGGAGATTCCTCAAAAATCTAGGATGAGAGCTCCCATTCGACTCATTCCCTTTCTGTGTATTTTCCAGAAAGAATTAAAAACATCATACCACAGTGATGCATGTGCATCCATGTTTATAGCAGTGCAATTTGTAATTGCTAAATCTTGGAAACAATCCAAATGCCCATCAAGTGAGGAATGGATAAAAAAGATGTGGTGTTTTTAATACAGTGGAGTAAGTACTACTCAGTCATAAGGAAATATAAACATTTATAGATAAATGAATGCAATTTGAGACTCTACCTATAGTGAAATAAATCACACTCATGTATGTCAACACTGTATTATTTCCTTGGTGTAAGAAACTGAAAGAGTAAATAAGGATGAAAATGCACAATAGACACTGTGAAATGGGAAGAAATTGTTCAAAAAGAAAGAGGAAATAGGGTGGTGAAAGGGGGGAAGGAAGGAAGGAAGGAGAGGAAAAAATACAAGTGAGTTATACTGGCAGTTTCTCTTGATTCTTTGTAAAGAAAGGTTTGCGCTAATATCATTTGAATAATACTTTAATGACCATACCACATACTCTGAGTAACTGCTTTGAAGATAACAGTGTGAAGTATATTATCTGTTGTTATTCTGTTACTATTTTATGAAATTTTTTCTCACAAAATGAAAATACAAAAGATCATCGTATTGTGTACCATAAATATATAAACTTTGTATTTGTCATTAAAAACATTTAAAATGAGAATAAAGTGATGTTATTTGACAATCATAAATCTCATTTGGAGATACAATTACAGGTAGAGAGATTTGCAGTTTTCTTTCATTAGCTCTGCTCACCTACAATCCCTGAGAACAAGGTTGCTGTAAATCCGAGTCTAAGAAGTTCTGATCTTTCAAAGATAATGAATTCCTTTAAAATCTTATCCTTGAAATGAATGCATTTGGTTACTTGTAGACACAATGGAAAATGTCACACGTAATGTTTCAGGTAGCAGGGATATAAATTCTGCTTTCTCACAAACAACTCAGGTATATCACAAAGTATTCACCCTTTCTAAATGATAGATTCATTATTTTCAAAAAGAGTAAACTCTGTCTCTGGTAGTATTGTAAAGATTCAGTGCATCACACAAAATACCTGTAATAGTGCCAGGTTCATAATGTTTCTATCTCTAGAGGATGCTGTTTGACTTTATCTATTGTCTCAGAATTTAGGAACTGAAGATTTTGAATTGGAATAAAAGACACAAGCTTGGACCTTTTAGCTTTGCCAGCTATCAGTTGTTAGAGTCTAGCATCTCTCTAATGTCTTTATATTAATTTTTGTTATTTCACCAGAATGTTTAATTATTTATCATTAAACACCAGAATGTTTAATGAAAGCATTAAGTGGTTATAATGGAAACCTGAGAATGTGGGGTTTTTTCCTAAATCAAGTCAAATAATGAGATGCCATAGGAGAGCATTTTGAAGTTTTGAGACATCTGCAGAGAAAGAGAAGTGAGCATATGGTTGGATGAGGGAAGCTTGCTGAACTGTGGTCCCTCTAGATTTCACAGTAGGACGGGAACTAGTCCAGAACTGAGCTGGAATGAGCATTCCAGAGCTAAAAATAATCAGAAATTTTTAAGTTTGCCTGAAATATTTAATTTGATATTTCACAAAATCTACCAAGATGTTGTTTTATCATAACCAGAATAAAATTGTTAACATAAAGAGGTATTTACTAGAATTATCTAATTTAGTTGTCAACAAACAATGACCTTGCCCCATAGACTGTCTTTTGGCCTTCTAAGTTAAGGATGATGTCTATATTTTTCAACTGTGGAAGAAAATAAAATAATAACAACTTTTGACACTTAAAAATGACATGAATGCCAAACTTGAATAGCTTTAAAGTTTTAAAAATCTTTATCTGTAAATAGTTAGAGACCTATGGAATTTTGTAAAGATAGTATATACTATATAATGTATTCTTCTCCCTTTTTCTCTTGTTCTGATTTATATTACAGTATTAAATATCAAAACTATGATTTGTTCAATACTATTAAGCTTTTTCAGTTTTGCTATTTTTAAATGTATTTGTCTATCTGTACACATACATGTGTGTATATAGATTTATGCTATTAAATCTCATGGACACATTTTTGTAAGCCCAACCATAAAAAAATCAAAATACATGACTTTTGTATAATTAGCAAGGAACTCCCTCTGACTACGCTGTGATGTTTAATTTTAATGTGTCAACTCTGTTAGGCTATGATTTCCAGGTATTTGGTCTAACTCAATGTTGTGAAGATGTTCTTTAGATATGACTAGCATTTAAATCACTAAACTTGCAATACAGTGGAGGATAGACTTCACTCAATAAAGTAATTTTCAAAGTATTTGCATCCACTGAAATTTTTTGATCTATGCAAAGAAACTAATGAATATAACACAACTAATTGAAAAAGACCAACAAATTACAGAAATCATGAAATGAGAGGGAGGGAATTTAAAAGAGCTATTATGATTACAAGAAATATGGTGAAAAATTTATAGGAAAATAGAAATATAATATGAGGAAGTGGAGAAAATACCATTTTTAGAGGTTAAAGATTAAGTGTGTGAAATTTTTACTAGGTGGTCTTAGTAGTGAGGTAGAAATTGTAGAAAAAAAGATCAGTAAAAATAAGACTATAGCAACAGAAAATATCTGAAATTGACCATTAAAAATAAAGAACTGAATGTAAAGTAAATAGAGCCTCAAAGAAGTTCAGAAAAGATACATATATTTGAAATTCCAGAGGAAGGACAAAAAGAGGCGATGATGGATAAAATATTTGAAGACATAAATCATTGAAAATTCCCCACATTTTACGGTAACTACAAGTTCAAAGATATAAGACATTTGGGATAACAATAAATGTCAAGAAAACAGCACAAAAGGTATTTATAGGGCTTAAAACTAGTGATACCAGGTTGGGGATATAGGTCAGTGGCAGAAGTGCCTGCCTGTCACGTGCAAAGTCCTGAGTTTGCTTTCTGGTACCAAGCAAAGAAACAAATCCCCAGAAAACAAAATATAAAAAACAAAACAAACAAACAAAAAAACCCAGCAAAAACAACCCCCCCAAAAAACTAGTGATGCATACATTTGCACTACATGTGCAAAAATTTTTTCTTCAAAAATACATGCTAAGTTATTTAATTATTTTATTTTTTGTAATTTTTATTTTAAAGAGAATAAAACCATGCCCCCCCAAAAAAACAGAATAAAGCCAATCAAAATAAAACAGAACTTCAAAACAAGATAATAGGAAAACAACAATGGTCACCATAATGCTTCTTCTTGTCTGTAAAATAGCTACATAATACAAGGTGAAATGTAACTTTTAAATTTAACTGTAACTATTTAACTTTTTTTATTTAGAGAAAAAAGTGTAACAGAAAAAGATACAAATAATTCAAAATTTCAAAAAAAAAAAACAGTAAAAAACTACTAGTCCATAACTTACATATTGTTATCTTTGAAGTACTTTTACCTTTGACTCTTTTGTATTAATGCATAGTTTAAAACACAAAAATGTACAATTGTACAGAAGTATTTTCATTATATCCTTATTCTGAAAGTCTTATTTTTAATCTCGTAAACATTTGATTAAATGCACCCAAGGTCAGTGTTACGGTTCAGCTGGTGGGCTTTTCTCTCAGTGGAGAAAAAATTATAAAATGAAGGCAAAAAGGAGATCAAGCAAAAGGATCAACAGCAGGACAAAAGGAGAAAGCAGCACTTATGATAAGGGGAAAGTAAATAGCTCCTCATTCTGGAAGGGGACCCAAATGAGTTGCCAAAAGAAACTCTTTGTCTAGGATTCTTATCCACAAAAATGACTCCCACATCTCAGCCAAGAAAATGGGGTAACAAGGGGGAGACTTTGACTTAGAAGTGGGCCTACTGGAACTCAGAGTGGAGGTTTACTTCTGTAAGCACCATTAGTTGTGACTTTAAACAGAACCAAACCAAGACATTCTTAAGATGATTATCTCACTTCTGGGCAAGAAAATCCTGCTGATCCAGGGAAGGCTTTTTGAGCCTCGTGTCGTGGTCTTGGCCATCGTACCCTTCACTGAATCTCCTTGGCTACCTGTCCTACAGGACACTCTCTTCATTCTCGTCTTACAGGTCATCATCTCTCTGAGAAATCCTCTCATCTTCTCATGGCATTCTGTTAGCCCTCAGCATATTTTACAGCAACTAATTGTTTATATTACTGTTGGGAGCCTCTTGGTAGTTAGGAAAATAAACCTCAAACCTTAGGAAATAGGACCTGAACCCAACCATGCCAGTGCTGACGGTTCATAGCTCATTCTCTCCA